GGGGTTCTGCTTCCAGGGAGAGCCCAGGTGTGGGTGACATTGAACCTGGGGGATTTCCTCCTCAAATATCAACAATGCACGCTGTTTCTCTTGGCTGTAGTGCACCTGGCTACCATGCTTAGGGGATGAAATCCACCTAGTGAGAGACAGAGGGGTCCCCAGGCTATGGTAACTTTCATCTTCTCAGGCAGAACATAAATATAAAGAAAAAATGCTCCTATATTGTCTCTCTGCTGCAGTGGAAGCTCACTTGAAAACCCTGTTGGAGAGAGAAGTGCAGCCGGTGCCCATCCTGCTGCCAAACAGCCTGGTAACTCTGCTCACATGAAGTCTGAGCCTGCTGCAGAAGATGACAAAAGATTTCAGCAGAAATGAAGTTTTCCTGGGTACTTCAGCTTGCTGCAAAGGCACTTTATGGCTTTCTGTCATCAGTCCTGATGATGGGGTTCAAGGGTGGCCATGGGTAGTGAAAAGCAATCCCAAATAACACTTTACCACTATGCATCATCCCTTCAAAAGAATATCTCATCCCAGGAGAGGGCCAGAAGCGAGTGAAAGTGTCAGGTCATGGGGATAAGGAGGAGCCCAGCACCTGTGGCCTGCGATCAGACCTGTTGTTCTGGGCACAGGCAAGCAGTTAGGAGAATTTCAGTGTCCAAGGTAGAGCTGTGGGAGGATGCACTAATGAAAACAGTATTGAAAACATCTCTTTCCCTAATCCACTTATGTTGACAGGGCAGCCAGAGCAGTGATGAGTTTAGTTTAAAAAATATCTTTCTAAACATAAATGGATTGACAAAATATTATTCTATTAAGAGATTACTGCAGTGCTTGAACAGCACTAATTATCGTGTTGGAATCTGAGGCACAAAGAGATTAGCAGTTATCTTCATTTCCCAAGCAGGTTGTCTGTTGTTATATAAACATGTTCTATGTTGTTATATAAATGAAATGTTCATGTATTAGGAAGTAATTGTCCTGTTTTGTTGGAGGGAGTCCTGGCTGGGAACTGCACATAGCCCAGAACCAATCCATCTAGAAAAGTAAATCTTGCAAGTTTTTACTCTGAGCAAATGGGAACAAAATACATTCTTGTGCTGCACTGGGTGCCTCACCAGGGTGTTGTTGGGTGTTGATATTTAGGAGGAAGGGAGAAGAATTGCTGTGGGGTGTGCTGGGTCCCCCACAGGCACAAATCCTCATTTCTCCCTAAGGAATTCCAAAATAATGTATGAAGCTGTCCTACTTGTGCATATGCTGAAGACACAGAGCCACATGTGTGCCATGAGTGGCATCAAACAGTGCCTGCTCCTTGGGCTGTCACCACTGGTGCCTGAGGGGATGGGTAACATTGAAGGTGAGTATCTGGGGTTAAGCCTGCAGAAATGCTAACTGTAGCCTTCCTCTGTCCTTTAAAATTGCCTTTCTCTCTTTTTTTCCTGCTTCCTCCCCTGTTTTGTCCTTCCCCTCTTCCAGCAACGTGGACACCAAGGAGCTGTGCGGTGAGTGTGGTCCCTGTCTTGGGGCCAAAACAACCATTATGTGGCTTGTGTGCTTTCAAAGGATGCATGAAACCCATTACAAAGCTGATGATGCCATGGTGGCTGCGCAGATGGGGGGTCTTAGCACTCCTACTGCTTTGCCCCTTATTCTGCAGAAACATTGGCAAAGCTTTTCTTCATTTTCTTGCAACACAAATGGGATCAAAGCTGAACAGAGCACCTGGATCCCATTCAATAACAAGATGGAATTTAATTTCTGGCAATGTCATGGCTTCCAGCTCACTCTGAAGTTCAATAAACCAGTATCCATCTGCAATACCCGCTATATGTTTCTCCTTAGGAAAAACTGTGTTTTCTGCAGGCTGCCTAAAGTGTTCACCACCTCTGCTGCACCTCCCTTGGCTCCCAGGAATTAAAGGCTGAAAAGAAAATCTCTGATAATGTTTTGTCCCACACCTTGACCAGAAAGTTAATATTTCCTGCTGGGTTTCTGAAAGGCTTTGCCTTCATGGGAGGTGACTTGTGCACAGAGCTCCTGCTGCTCACTCAGGTGTGTTTTTCCATGGATACTCGATATTGGGAAAAGTTTCCTGTGCTCCATCTTTCTGGGAGGAGATGGGGAGTCAGAGGTCTGTGGCCCCGCAGAAGGCTCATCCATTTCTTTTCCTCCCTTCCCATGCCAGGATGCAAAAGAATGTATAAAGCCACCTTGGCAGGTCTTCACCATTTACCTCCATCACTTTGCCATTAATTCCAGCCTTTAGAGATCTGGCTAAGAGCAGGTTGCACAGCCAGAAAGGCACTTGGTGGGGTGCTTGTGCCACCCCCAGGCAGTTACTCATTATTCCTGGTACTTTAAAGACATCTCTGTCCGCCTGCGGGTCTGCCGGCACCAAGACATTGCCTTGGGTTTCTCTCCTCCCAAGTGTTTTCTCTCCTCCCTTGACTTCCTTCCTGCAGCATCCCACAGGGTTCTGAGCATTCAAGACTGCAGCAGAGGCAGCACCTTTCAGCTGGTTATCCCCACTTGTTCTTGCTTTAGTATGTGAGAAACGAATCCTTTCATAAAATCCTTTTGGTTTGCTGATGATATGATGGGCTTGTTCCCATCACTCCTTTCTCATTGTGTTAGGTCTCCTTGCCAGCTGACCCAAGAAACCAAAACCCAGCAGCTTGTACCATCAGCTTTGCCAGGAAATACAGGGATAGTAAAGTTTTGTTTGACCCCACTGTGCATTCTCCATCAGTTTGATAGCTTTCACCCACATTCCTGCATCTCCTGGGGTTGAAGTTGCCAGTAGACGATGGAGATAAACCCATCACCTCCCACAGGAAGCTTGTACCACCAGCTTTGCCAGGAAATAGAGGGATAGCAAAGTTGTTGTTTGACCCCAGTGTGTGTTCTCCATCAGTTTGATAGCTTTCACCCACCTTCCTGCCTCTCCTGGGGATAAAGTTGCCAGGAGAGGATGGAGATAAACCCATCACTTCCCACAGGAAGCCAGAGGAATTACTGATCAGCATGAGATCCTGGCTAGATCTGTTATCTGCTGAATACTTGCCCTTGCCTGCAATTTATTTACTTGCTACTCTTATAGGTATTAGTTTAAAAATGAAACTCCATTTTGGCTAAATGAAAGCTATGGTCTCTCTTGAAATAGGTTGTGAGTTGTAAGATGATGAAGGCATCTTAAAAGGGATTTCTTGACCCTGCAGCTTAGATGAGAAACTTGATATGGTATAATCCACATCAAGTAGCATCTTATCAAGTTCTGCAACAACCACCAGCACCTAGGCTGACTTAAGCATGGCTGTGTAGCTCTCAGAGGAGCTCCCAGTCAGAGCTGGGAGCACTGTAATACACCCAAGAGATGTGAGTACAGCTGCTAAAATGTACCTGCCACCTTTCAGTTTAAATGGAACACAGACATTGCAGGCAATGGTACAAGCTGTCCAGCGAATTGAAGTGTACTTTGCAAATGGAAGATGCACATCATCCTGTTGCAGACAACCAGGGCAGTGGGTGGTGCCTTTGCTTCTCCCACACCAGCCCTGGATGGCAGTGATGCTCATCTCTTTAGCATTGATCCCATTGCTCTCTGCAGACTTGCAGGAGCAAGAACCATGTGGGATAGGAAGAGCTGATCTCAGGTGTTCATGTGGATAAATATGGCTAAAAGAGTAGAACTGAACACTTCAGTTAAGTCAACACTGTTCTCCTCCCAGGTTCTCCGTGGTCACTCTTGAGGGCTGTGCTCTGCCCACAGCAGCTCATTCTTTCTGAAAAGCTGGCTCCAGCTTTTTGTTTCAGCACTTACAAAAAGTCTTTACCTGCTCTTTATCTGCTCAGTTTTTCTTTCCCAAGTAAAGTAATAACACAAACACACTCCAGTGAGAATAAGTTGTTTGGCAGCAAACAGCTGCTGTCAATCATGCTGTTACATTCGGTTTCTGCCAGAATCTTCTTCCCCTTGGATATGTTCTCTGGCTGTAAATAGCTACAGGCACTTCTAATTAAGCCAAGAGAACCTAATTAGTGGGGTTGTTTCCTGGAGTTGGTATCTTGTTGCATTCCTCAGAGATGTCACCTCGGTGTGAAGCTTCATGACTTAGCACTAAGAATAGTGCCAGTGGCTTTTAAGGAACAGCTTTTAGTCACCCAGAAACTGGGTGACTTTACATGTGTGCTGCATATTCACTGCAAACCTCACTGCTGTGCTTCACTTCTGTCTGTTTCCACTTTAAACAGTGAATTTTAGGAGTCCATAGCTCATGCACGAAACCACACCAGGGCTCATGTATGCCATGCAGCCACTGACTGCACGTGGACACACTGATTTTGGCTGTATTTTACATCAGTGAAGAGCGTCCAGCCACTGCATGGCAGCCTGGCACAGATCACTCTTCTCACAGGATGAAGATGGCAGGGACAAAGTGTGGACTCTCTCTCCACAGGCAACGTGCTTTTGGCCCCAGCTTGCAGCTCTGTTCTTTTCCTTTTGAGGCGTAGTTTGTTCTCAGAAGCCTGTGCAACCTGTGATTGTGAGCTGTGGTGCAAATGTGATCGGAATGTAGGGAAAGATGTAAGGCTAGTCTCAGCTTATATAAATTGGGGTGAACCTGGCAAGTATTTTGATGCTTAGAGTGGTGAAAACCCTCAAGGGAATGGAAAGGGGATTTCTTTTGAGACTTCCTCCTCCATGTTGGCAGTAGGAGGGAGAGAGACAGGATACAGTCAAATGCAAAAGTGGGCATGGAAATAGAGCACCTGCTAAGTTATTTTCAATTGGAGCTACTGTGCCTTACATCTCTTTTTACAATGGTCCCAAAATTCTCTGCAGGAAAAGTTGTGACTTTGGCTCAAGATACATATTATAAAAAATACACTTGAAACAACTGTTTCAGATTTTTCTTTCCACCAATAAATAGACCTTGATGTAGTCTTGAAGCACTAAGTTACACCAGCAGTTCCCATCATGTCCTTCTTGGTTTTCCCAGACTATTTTGCTGACCATATGGGAGACTATGAAGATGTCTTGGCCTCACTGGAGATGCTGAACCTCTCCATCCTGAAGGCAATGGACTACACCAAACGGGTGAGTCCTCCTTACTGTGCCTTGTCTTCTGCATACTCAGAGTGATGATGCAAATGCTACTTTAACAAAGCAGCTAAATCTGAAGGTCTTTGTCATATTCAGCTGTGTTGTCTCCTCATGCTGTTTCATTTGTGTGGGAAGTGGATCATCACAGCAACATGACAACAGTGGATTTTTTTGTGTTAACAGAGGATGATTCTTGAAAATCTTGGCCAGATTGTGAACCAAGGTGCCAATCACATGTGCATTAGAGACTTTGTGGCAGAGCATGGTATCTTCTCAGCCCCTTTCCTAGGTCTGACAGGCAGTCTTGGCTGTGCTATGGCTTACACTCTGTGTTGCCTGAAGCATGAAGGTACTGCAGCTGTCTTCAGACAACACAGCCTGTGGGTCTCTTGAGTGGAATTTTGAATGTATGAGTTTTTGTTAGCATCATTGGGAGTGCTTTTGGAAACTTCTTGTTGTAGAGCTGCAACTAAATACAGATTCCATGTTGGAAGGTGTCCTGAGCTCCAGAAATTCATGTGCACAGCTGCTGTGTTAGAAACTAGAGGTCTGCATGGGGGATTACTGGGGAATAACGCAAGCACCAAACCTGAGACATAATGTCCTATTGTATATGTGCAGAGTACCCCTAGCTTCTTAAAAAATCCACCATGTACCTTAATGATACTGTTAATAACGGACTGCTAAACAGTGGACTGCTAGACAGTGGCACTGATAGATAAGAATATCAAAATTTATTTATGAATACCTAGAAAAATCTAAGCTGATGTGCCAGATAAACATCCTGCTGAGAGATTCACCATTTATTTGGTGTCTTACCAGGAAGAGAAAAGTGTTTATAAAGCTCTTGTTCCTTTGAAACCATTTTCCTGTCTTTTTCATGCCACTTAGCAGAATAACTGGGCTGTATCAGTGACATTTATTACCTCAGGATAATAAGTCCTCCCATTTTTACCTTCAATCATAATTGCATCATTCTTTTGCGCTGTGGCTAGACAAAAGTAGAGTTTTCTTCGTTTGTGAGCAGTAATGTGAAGCCAAGGAAGAAGGTTTTGGTTTTTCCAAACACCTGTAAGGACTTTCCAATTCAACTCCAGCCCACTGAGTAATCCAAACTGAAATCTCCCTTTCATTTATCTTCAAAGCTAATTTATCTTACAAACTCAAATTACTCCACATTAAAGATGTGGTAATGATAAGAAGTTTAAGCATTTAGAACAGGAAGCAGCAAATTTCTCTCCCCTGGTTTCCGAGTAAAGAGTCTGATTTTCTTGCTTGATCAAAATCTGTCCTTATTACTGTTTGTGAGGAGGGCAGCATGAAAAGTGAAGCGACATATTTCACATGTTGATGTCTTGCCATAGTAAACTAACAGCAAAAATCTGGCCAAGCACTGACCTGTCTGAAGTGTTTGTGATTTTTTAATCAATATTATTGCAGGAGCATGGCGAACAGAGCGGGTCGAGGCAGTTTGCGCGGCAGTTTGCACGGGCAGGCGAGCGGGATGGTGAGCACTCGTCGTTATGACCAGGGCCGGGTCCGGGAGCTCTGCTCTGGCTGCCCCGGCGGTGGCCAGCGTAGGCACCCAGACAGAGCCGATGAGAGGGGAGGCTGCAGTGCAGAGCTCGGGGTGCAGAGAGGAGAGTGCCTGCACTGGTCTGGTGACGGGAGGGGGCACAAGGGGCAGGGCTGCACTCGGTGCTCCCTGGTGGAGGTCCTCCTGCAGCAGGGGCTGAGCTGCGGGATGCTGTTAATAGGCTGCGAGATGTCAGGGAAGCTGAGAGGAAGCAGGAATGCTTGCTCCAGGCCCAAACTGTGCAGGGGCCTCGAGCTTCCCCTCTACCTCATGGAGGAAAGAAGGAGGCCTTTAACCTGGGGAGCTGGGAATTAGTGACAAAAAAGAAAAACAAACCAAAAAAAGGAGGAAAAGGACAACCAAAAGCAAGGGGCTTCCCCCTCAATCCCCTGTCCCCACGCAGAACCGCTTTGCTGTCCTGCAGGGGGCTCATGAGGAAACGCCCTCGAGGCAGAAACAGCCGGCTGATGCCCTGGTAAAGAAGATCTCTGCTGGTGCTGCCAGGAAAAAGTAGCGGGTCGTAGTAGTAGGGGACTCTACACTGAAAGGGACAGAAGCACTTGTCTGCTGTCCAGACCCTGTCTCAAGGGAGGTGTGTTGCCTACCGGGGGCACGGATCAGGGATGTGGCAGAGAGGCTGCCTGCTCTAGTAAGTCCCACGGACTATTACCCACTCCTGGTGATACATGTGGGTGCTAAGTATATAGATAGTAGTAGCCTGGGGAACATAAAGAAGGACTACAGAGCCCTGGGGAGATGGTTAGGGGCTCTGGAGCTCAGGTGGTCTTTTCATCAATTCTCCAGGGTACAGGGGAGGACCTAAAAAAAGCTAGGAGGATTGGCCAGGTTAATAACTGGTTAAAAGGGTGGTGTCATAGTCAGGGGTTTGGGTGTCTTGAACACGGGACCCAAGCTTGTAGGCCAGGTCTTGTGGGGGCTGGTGGAGCTGGTCTGATGATAAAGAAGGGAAAGAGCAGTTTTGGTAGGAGGCTTGCGAGACTGGTCAAGGAGGCTTTAAACTAGATGTGCTGGGGGAGGGGGGCATCATTCCATCCCAACACACCCAGTCAGTTGCCAGCACCTACAATAAATGCTTGCAGCAATGTAGAGATATCCCAGCCGCCCCAGCCAATGAGCCGGCTTCAGTTGGAGCTCGGCTCAGATTCCTCTGTACAAATGCCCGTAGCATGGGGAACAAACAAGAGGAATTGGAGATGTGTGCACGTCTACGGGGGTATCATATAACAGACATCACAGAAACATGCTGGGATGGCTCCTATGACTGGTTACAGGCTCTTTAGGAAAGACCGGCCTGGCAGGTGGGGAGGGGGAGTTGCCCTTTATGTTAGGGGTAGGCTGGAGAGTATGGAACTCTGTCTGGGGACAGGTGAGCAGTGAACAGAGTGTTTGTGGGTCAAGGTTAAAGGGAATATAGCTATGGGAGACATTACTGTGGGGATCTGTTACAGACCGCCTGATCAAGGAGAACCTGCAGATGAAGCACTCCATAGACAGATAGGAACAGCCTCACGCTCGCAGGCCCTTGTTCTCATGGGTGACTTCAACCACCCTGACATCTGTTGGAAGGACGGTACGGCCCGGCACAAGCAATCCAGGAGGTTCCTCGATTGTGTAGAAGACAACTTCCTTCTGCAAGTAATAGAGGAGCCGACAAGGAGAGGTGCCATGCTTGACCTCGTGCTCACCAACAGGGAAGGGCTCGTTGGAAATGTGACGCTCCAGGGCAGCCTTGGTTGCAGCGATCATGAGATGCTCGAATTTGAGATCCTCAGGACAGTGAGAAGAGCGTGCAGCAAGCTCACTGCCCTGGGCTTCAAAAGAGCAGAGTTTGGCCTCTTCAGGAACCTGCTTAGGACGGTTCCATGGGATACAGCCCTAGAGGGCAGGGGGGCCCAAGACTCTTGGTTGATATTGAAGGATCACCTGCTACAAGCTCAGGAGTGTTGCATCCCAACCAGAAGGAAGTGCAGCAGGAGGGCCAGGAGACCTCCTTGGATGGATAAGTTGCTGCTGAGGAAAATTCAAGTGAAAAAAGAGGCTTATAAAATGTGGAAGCAAGGACAGGTGGCCTGGGAAGAGTACAGGGATGTTGTCTGGGAAGCTAGGGACCAGGTTAGGAAAGCTAAGGCCCAGTTAGAATTAAACTTGGCTAGGGATGTTAAGGATAAAAGGAAGGGATTCTACAGGTACATAGCAAATAAAAAACAGACTAGGGACAACATAGGTCCCCTCTGGAAGCTCTCGGGAGAGATGGCTACCCTGGATTTGGAGAAGGCTGAGGTTCTGAATGACTTCTTTGCCTCAGTCTTCACTGGCAAAGGCTCTGACCAAACCACCCAAGTCTTGGAATGCAGATGCAGGCACTGTGAGAATGAAGACCTCAGACCCACTGTAGGAGAGGATCTGGTTCGAGACCATCTTAAAAATCTGAACGTGCACAAGTCCATGGGTCCTGATGAGATCCATCCACAGGTCCTGAAGGAGCTGGCAAATGAAGTTGCGAAGCCGCTGGCCATCATATTTGAGAAATCATGGCAGTCAGGTGAAGTTCCCGATGACTGGAAAAAGGGAAATATAACCCCCATTTTCAAGAAGGGGAAAATGGATGACCTAGGGAATTACAGACCAGTCAGTCTCACCTCTGTGTCTGGCAAAATCTTGGAGCAGATTCTCCTGGAAGGCATGCTAAGGCACATGGAAAACAGCAAGGTGCTTGGTGACAGCCAGCATGGCTTCACTGAGGGGAAATCCTGCCTGCCCAATTTGGTGGCCTTCTATGATGGGGCTACAGAACTGATGGACAGGGGAAGAACAGTTAATGTCATCTACCTGGACTTGTGCAAAGCGTTCGACACTGTCCCACACAATATCCTTGTCTCTAAATTGGAGAGACATCAATTTGATGGATGGACCACTCAGTGGATAAAGAACTGGCTGGATGGCCGCACACAAAGAGTTGTGGTCAGTGGCTCAGTGTCCGGCTGGAGACCAGTAACGGTGGCGTCCCTCAGGGATCAGGGTTGGGGCCGGTCTTGTTCAACATCTTTGTCGCTGACATGGACAGTGGGATTGAGTGCGCCCTCAGCAAGTTTGCCGATGACACCAAGCTGTGTAGTTCGGTTGATATGCTGGAGGGAAGGAATGCCATCCAGAGGGACCTTGACACGCTTTTGAGGTGGGCTGATGCCAACCTCATGAAGTTTAACCATGCCAAGTGCAAGGTCCTGTACTCGGGTGGGAGCAATCCCAGGCACAGCTACAGGTTGGGCAAAGAAGAGATTCAGAGCAGCCCTGCAGAGAAGGACTTGAGGGTGCTGGTCGATGAGAAAATGAACATGAGCCAGCTTCAGTGTGAGCTTGCAGCCCAGAAAGCCAACCGTATCCTGGGCTGCATCAA